TTGCTCTTATATATATATATATATATATATATAAGCTAAAGCTTTGGGGTTAGACATGTAAATACATAGGAATTAAGTGATACGTATGTAAATCTCGTTTTTTTTATAATTTTATAATTATCCTACACAAATAGGTCAACAAAAAAAACCAACTAGACTTTTCCCTCTTATCTAAAAAATTGATTTTATGTGCCTCATAATAAAAGAATTTAGATAAATGTACTTATAATTTGTTTTCATAGAAAATATACATAAAAAATCTTTTGACTTTTTGATTTCAAAATTGTCAGCGAGAAAACTAAGGATTGTAATGTAAAAGAGAAGAAAGAAGGCAAAGAGAGAGCGAGAGAGCGGTATGGAACAATAGAAAACTCATAAATTGTATTCTAAAAATGACTCTATTTATAGGTATCAAGGATACAGACCTAAGATTACATTTATAACCCCTATTTGTAAGGATAGTCAGCGTTATTTTAGTATTTTATATATGCAAGTCTGATACCCACTTATGGGTTTTTTCAGGTGATAGATAGTTATTGATTGATCTGCCTTAGATCGAAGCCTTCTTTGAAACGGGAACCAGAGGGTGAATGAACTGATCGATCCAAATCTTTTCATATGGATTCCCTCATTGTGGTCGGAGTGGATGATAACTAGTCGGCAGATCTTTTCTCCATCGCTATCATGTTTGGTCGTTGAATTTCTTCAAGATTTGTGCTGACATATTTTTATAAACATATTTTCTTTTCCGATTTTCTTGCTTCTTGAAAGTTATGTTGCAGAAAGAAAAAATAGATGAATATAATTTATAAGGATATAATTGCTTAATAATTGACTTCTGTATGTTTCTATGTTCGGGGATGTTAAAAATAGACTACAAGGGTTTAGAGCTATGTGTCATCTTCCTTTTTTTTTCTCCTTATGTTGCACTTCCTTCTGTCTTAATCTTTTGTGATGGCTGGTGTAGGAGTGCCTGGGGCAACATCTCACAATAAGGGCACACTATTTAGGGCCCTCGGGGGTATGAGAGCTATAGAGCGGAAGAAAGAAGAGGTGAAGGAAAGATTGGCAAATGAGAAGTCTATTGGGGAAACAAGTAAAAGGAGAGTGATAAAGAAGCAAAAAACTATCGATTAGGAGAGTCATATGGAATCCTCTGATTTACTCGTAGGATCACAGTAGGAGAAGCTTTGGAAACAACCCAAGGGATGACCGGTTGATCCTCTTGCGGAGCTCGCAGTTTTCGTGGTTGATCCTGTGGTTGCTGTCGAAGTGCCCATCCAGCATATTCTCGAATAGCAGAACCCTCAGGCCACGAAGGTTAAATAGATAACGGGAAGCAACTTCTGCCCAAAATACTAGGTGGTGAACTTACCCCTTTAGTCGAGGGACAGGAGAAAACTAGTGAGGGTGAAGTGTCATTCACCACATCCATGTGAAATTGAAATGTTGGTATGGGATTTAAGTTATATTTTTAATATCAGAGTTTTTCTTGTTTATGGTATCTTTTGGTGAGTCATAGAGATCCTGACGATCGACAATCTTTCGTTAGAACTCGATATTGACTTGCATGAAAATGTTGTGGTTGTGGATTAGGTATCAACCAGAGGTGTAAGCTTCGTTGGGAGGAGCAAGAGTCGGATTGCCAAGGTGGTCCCTCTGAGACTCGCGATGAGGACTTCAGATTTCTTCTATTTCCTTGGTGCACCATCTGGTGAGATTGAGAAATATTTTGCCCGAGCCATCATGGATCCCCAAGGAGTTGAGGTATATGGTCTAGCTGCCTGCATAGAGAAGATGGGTCGAACAAAAGGGGAGGTTACTGCTTTGAGATGAAAGTTTACTGTTATTCGGGAGGAGAAAATCATCCTATGTGAGGAGATGATGTACTTTCACTCAATACTGATGGAGATTTGGAAAACCTCCTCCATCTTTTTGGTTCAAGTGGAGATCAAACGATTCAAACATTTTAAGTTGGAGGTGACGTTTTATACATGAGGTTGCTTTAGTAAGGGTTTCTCTCGGAAGAAGCTGCAAGTGAAATTCTTGTAAAGATCTTCATCTCGTAGTAGCTTTCCAAGGGGTTTCTTGATGTAACCTGCATTTTATGTGAATAAAATATTCTTTAATTTTTTTCATTTTTAATTAACTCCTTACCTAAGATTTCACACAAATTTTATTGTCATATCACTCCATCCCACATCAGCAATATGGTGTTTCATTTTCTTCTTTCCTAATATAAATTGGTGGGATCATTCTTAGACATACCATTATTTCCTATTTACTCTGAGTTTTTCGTCCTCCTATCTATCTTCTCTATGATGGCTCCAAAGTTTTTACAAGAAACCTACTGTTTGGCTGCCACCATCAAAACTCATGCATTGTCAGTGAGTGAGGTTAAGGAAATCTAGGACCTGTACGTTCTTAGTCCTTCGATTCGACTCCGACACATTTCACATTGACCTAATCTCTTACAAAGACCAGTTTGGATCTTTGGTTGCCATTGTGTAAAGAACTCTGGTCGAGTTTCAATAGGAATAGGGTCATTCCAGTGCAAGAACACATGAACTCTATGGTGGCAATCATAAACTTCATTCTCTTCTTTCGGAGGATGAAGATCCCAGAGACAATCGAGTTTTTCAGCCATTTTTTCTTGTTTAAAGTTGGTTTGGACGAGTATGTTCAATTCATTGTAGTTTAGACGGTATAGCTGTTGAAGCTCAACAATAAAATTAAGGATTGGAAAGCCAAGTTTTTATTGGCTCATACACAAGTGGATGAGGGATTCACATTCTTGGGGATTCACATTCTTCTAATAGAGTGTGATGCTAGGAAGGTGAAGGATCAATCCGGCCACCTCCAGGCTCATGGTTAGTTAATCGAGGGTCAACATTTCTACATATTCTAGCACTTAGACCTAAGGTGTTCGATCACATGATTCGGTCAGATAGTGAGGATACTATGACCAAGGGGTTGTGGACAACCTCCAAAAACCACGAGATAGCCTGGGAGAAGGCAGTTATGGAGCAAACAACTAAAAAGAAACCTCGAGGAAAGGCTGTCTTCTAGCAACACGGGAGAGAAATGGGTCACTTGGATCATCCTAGATTTATTGGGGAGGAGACTAAATGTATAGGATTCTTTTCTGGTTTATTTTGTTTATTTCATCTGATATTATTAATTTGAGGTCACTTAATGGATAAAAAAGGTTCTTTTGTTAGACTTGGGCATCTTTGAGGGGAGTGAGGAGGATCTCCTCAACTCAGACCATAGTCGCGTCTGAAGATTCAAAGAAGGCTCCAGTGATAGGCAAGATAGGGTCTATGACCCCCAGTGAAACAACCTTTATTGGCTTGCAGGAAAGGGGCGACCCCATTTCGGCCGTGACCGAATCAGAAGAAGAGCTTGGGGGTGACATGTCTAGAAAAAGATAAATTTTCCACCGAGAAAGAAAAGCCTTGGCTCCAAACAAGGGTCACCTCCCTTTCCTCCTTTGAAGAAAAAGAAAGGTGTCTCCATTTGAGTGGACCCTCTCTCATGATAGTTGAACTGGAGTATAGATGAGCAGCCACTATATAATGATTGATAAGAAGACAAAGGAGTATTCACTCACATGAATAGAGACTACTTGTTTACCTTTGTAGAGGTTATTTGGTCCCATGCTTTGGAGAAGTCACTACGATCCCTAGATAGAAGTGATATGTTTTAGACAACCGATCGATACCATGCCTTGGCTTGGGAGGCTTCGTACTTTTAAGCAATTCTTTTGAACAGTACAGAGGATCCAACCTAAAATGTCATGGCTAAAGAGATGAGTTGTCATGGCTGAGGAGAGCCTAAAATGTCTTTGGCTGAGATAGTATTGAAAGCTCAGGAACACAAGGACAAGATGACCGCCCTCCTTACTATGAACCATGAACTGAAAGAGACGGTTTCCTCAATGATCACAAAGGAGGAACACGTTGAGGGACTCTCTTGTCAGATTGGGTTGGCACCTCCATCGCCCTTAAAAGGTTTCTAAAGCACAAACTAATCGACACGAATCGGTTCGAGATCGAGGAGTTTGTTATGCTTCTCCCAGACCGTAAGGACGTAGGTGTCAACCTGGCAAGCGGAGAAGAGGTTGACTGTGATGAGAGAAAGAAGGATGATGAGGAAGAGAATGATGAGGATGTCGGGGAATCCCCCAATGTCTAACCCTGTGATGTTTTTCTTTTGGAATAGTTTCCTTGTTTTGGAAAATACATGCAAGTAAATGTAACTTTTTTTTGTGAAAAAAAATGAAAATTTGTTTGGTTCATACCCCTGTATTTTACCTTGTATTTTATTTTTCTACGGTTTCTTTTGTATCGTACTGATTGGCCGCTCAAGCCTTGGCGCTTAGGGGTGGTTCTCTCCATTGTTTATGTCAAATTTGGGATGGTTTGAGCCCCATAGTTGATAAACTCGACACATTTCTCTAAGTGGACCCCTGAGATGATTGATTCGGTACCCCTTGCATAGGTTGTCCTTGTCAGGTAGCAAATTATCTCAAAGACGAGCTAATGTTTTAGTATTGTAGATTTTGAGACCGACCGTACGATCTTGATGCCGCGAACAATTGTTATTTTGTTTGACCGGGTGGTTTATGTCGGGACCGATATGTATTCATAAGGCGTTGAAGCCTGATTCTTTCCTTTCACTTATGAGGGTCCAGGTGACTAGGATGGACTTTAAGGTTGGGTCCGTTCTCTATGGGAGGCGATTGTTCAAACTCTATGATGATTGTTGCTATACCTTTCACGAAACTTGCCTCTACTTGACATGGGAACATCTTCAATTTTTTAATTCAATCCTAGCACGAGCATTGCTCCTTTGTCATTTGCATTTTGCCACTCTACCCAATTTTCATCGTCAAAAGCTGAGGTGGTCAGGACCCTTTGATTGTGGTGGTTTTATTTGACCGGCAACATCAATTCCATTCCACGAGACAACATGAATGAAATTTGCCTGGATGTCATTGATGGCATCATATAGTAACATTCATCACAAATAAAAGAAACAACAGTTCTCACAAAATAACAATAAGCAATTATCAAAATCAATCCATCAAACTCTCCAACTCTGCCAATAAAAAAAAATGCCCAAGCAAAAATAAAATATGAAATCATGCTACTCTCGCCTCACAATCACTCGATGTTACACTTAGCAAGACTGCCAATATGGAGTCTCGTTACATAAACTTAATAATAAAAAAAAAGAAGATAGGTAAAGCGTATAAGAAAAATTTCAGCGCTTCCCACCACCACCGCCAAGTTTAGGTCCTTTAGGGCCCTTCTGGATGTTGCTCTTTGTTTGTGTCTTCACAGTTTTGGCCAAAACCTCAGCTTTTTTAGCTTTCTTTTCATCCTTGGTCTTCTTTATCCTCTCCTTGATCTCACTGCACATGAACATCATTTAGTAATCAAAGTGTAGCATAAATAAATAACAAGAAAAGTGTCAAAATAGTCTTTTGACTCTTTGCAGTGGGTCAATTTAGTCCCATAGTATATAAAAATTTCAATTTGATCTCCGGACTCCTCTAATATGGGCTGAAATATTTCGACATTTTCAGCCCCAATTTAAAATATCAGTACTTGATAAATAACTAAGCCATAAGTCTAGCACGAAAAAATAACGGTTTTAACTGAAACATAATGATAGTTGAACGTACGTCAAACGTACGCAGGAGTTGCGTACGTAAAATGGTACACGGGGGTTACACGGGGATTACAAGGGGTTATAACCCCGTTGTACCTCCCGTGTAACTCTCGTGTAACCCCGCTGTAATCTTGTAACCCCAATAAATAAAATAAAAGGGCGGATTACAAATATGGATAAAATAAAAACGCGGGTTACAGGTGAGTTACACGAAAGTTACAAGGAAGTTATAACACGCTTGTAACCCCCATGTAACCCCCGTATAACGCCCGTGTACCATATTATGTACACATCTCTGCGTACGATTGACGTACGTAATTTTTTTCCAAGATGATGAGGATGGTATTGGGAATTCAAAACAATCATGAATAGGCATATTCTGGTGTGCAAGATTCATAGGAAATGTATTTTTTTTAATTTATATGATTTTTAATTATAATATCAAATTGGCAGACAATCAGAAACATATTTATTGCACAAACCGTAGAGCTGCTTCTCTAGCCGCATCCCGAACTTCAGGTTTCTCAGTTCTTTTCTTTTGAATAACTTCCAAGGTAGCGCCAACAATTGATCTGGAGAGAGACTTCTTTGCAGTTCGGCGTTTTCTTTTCACAGTTTCATCAAGGATATCCTAAAAAACAAATCTAAGGATCAAATGAAATGCTAAAAAACAAAAGGGGAATTTTACATGCGAAGCACAATTCTTATGTGTTTTATATATCTCATATCTAAAATTTTATATTTACATACATAGTATTTTGGTGCTTTAAATCTATGCATCAAAAAGGTGTTTTTCATGTAAAAAGTGTTAGTAGTGTTATTTGTAACGTGCTATTAAAGAATTGAGTGCTATGTGTGCAAAGTGAAAGTTTAGATGAGAGAGATGCAAATAAATAAGAATTATATGCGTAAATGTCCCAAATAAATATATGATTGTTTTGCCGTCAGAATTTTAAAGAAAGACATAAACCTATAAAAACACCAAATCAATTGAATATAGTCTCCTCTTATGAAGAGAAAAGTGGAAAATCCACTTTAATAATTGAAGCTTCCACCATCCTCAAAAAGCAATACAACCCTTTAAAATGCATAATTCAATTCCTTTAATCCAGTAATTTTACTTCTGTCACTCTTAGGAAGCCAGAATATGTAAAAAATAAATGGGGGCAATTCTTATGTATTTACACATCTAACACTTAAACTTTCATACTAACATGCATAACAACTCAAATCTTTATTATCACCTCAAAAAAATCATTATTACATATTTTTTAAAAGTGAAACCTTTTTAATTCACAGGTTTATGACACAAGTTTTATAAATGACATAAAATATAAAAGTTTATTTATTAGACATGTAAATACATAAAAATTATGTCATAAGTATTTAAATCTCTCAAGCAATGCTCATCTATAAAATTTTTCATGTGAATGCTCAAATAACACCAAAATAAGTATGTTAAAGTCCTGATATTAAGCCAAAAATTCCATTATGTGGAGTTAAGCATCTGAGGGGATCATTAAAAAGACCATTCACATGATTAATCACACACCATAAATTTATTATTTTAAAAGCAATAAACGAGACAAATGCACTTGTCCGATGACAAATTTCATATTTTCTATAGAGAACAAAATAAAAAATAAAAACTTAAGGTGAGACTGAGCTGACACTTCAGTTTACCATCGTAAAAAAAAAAAAACCTATAAATAAGGAAGAAACAGCTCCCACTTATCCAAACCTTGGCCCTCTTATCCCCTCACTGGAAGCAGCTTTCCTCCCACAGAAAATGAAAAAGCTAAGATCTTGCAATTGATACCAATCTTAAGAATCCAATCCAAAATTAATCCTCTTTGCTGTTAAGCCACATAAAAGGTTTAGATTTAATCCAACCTAATTGGAAGAGTAAAAAGTTTTGTGGTAGTAAAATATCGAGTCATTGGCCGTCACCCCAAGGCATAAGTTCTTGGATTAAAACCAGGTTTAACTACTACTGTATTGTATCAAACTTTAGTTCCCTATTGATTTGCTCTCCCTAACAAACTGTATTCGAACCAAGCTTTGGATCTATTCAAAGGATGGAAAATGTGAAGATCAACAAGTTCAATGGGAAATATTGTGAATACTAGAAAAAAATGCAAATCAAGGATTTTTTATTATAAATAATACACCTACATAGGAGTGTAAACTAGTAGAGCCAAGCTCGAGTCATCAATTTATTTATTTATTTAGTAGAGCCAAGATCGAGTCATCTATTGATTTAACTTAAGCTTGATTTATTTATTCATGCTTAAGCTCAATTTTATGAGTTTGACACAGCTCACGTCCAGACACATTTTTTATCAAATGTTGGAGAAAATTTCGCTTCAAACATTTATTTTAATAAACTACTAAAAAAAATAAGGAATTAAATTAGAAAAAATAAGAATTCATATAATATGGTGAAAAAAGATATAATTTTAAAATTTTTATAACAATTTCTTACTTAATCTTGAATTCAAATTCATTTAAAATTATTTTTATCAAAGAAGTCAAGTTAGAGCTGATTTGATCTTTAGCTTTTTAGCTCATTGAATTTATAACAATTTCTTACTTAATCTTGAATTCAAATGTATTTAAATTTATTTTTATCAAAGAAGTCAAGTTAGAGCTGATTCGATCTTTAGCTTTTTAGCTCATTGAGCATGCCTCATGAGAAAAAAAGTGTGCCCAAGCAGAGTCACAAGACAGCTTAACTTCATTAAACACCTACATATATCTCTTTTGGAGACAAAATAGAGAACAATGACTTGAGAAGATTAGGGCCTCCAGAATAATTAATGTTGAGAGATACACATGACACCGACTATAAATGTTTCCTTCAACATATTTTACGATGTCATTGATATTGAAAAGTCTTTCATTTGAATAGGCAAGTAAATTGTTAAAGCACGTGAAAAACTTGGGTTTAACCCCATATTGAATAGCTGAAAAGCATGCTGTGAAGAAAAACCAAAAAAATGTCCATTTATCGAATGATTAAATTTTTATGTTGAAATACACTTGACTACTATTGTACTAAACAAACTTTGGCCCCCTTTGGTTCGCATTCCTTAAGATTCACATTTAAAGGCAAGCCCAAGGAAGTTGTAATGATAGTCAATCTTAAAAATCCAAAAGGAGAAATTTAAAACCTATAGCATCATCCGAAAGATCAGCCAAGTAAGGATCAATCATCTCCAACAATTATAATAAAATACAGATACTGTAGTACTTTGACCTTAAGAGTTCGATGGGGGAATACCAAAAGACAACGAAACCTCAATACTTTGATCTTTAAGATCAAATTAAAGGTGCCCCAACCTTAGATTAATGTCGTCAATCTTTAGGATCCGACTAAAGAAACATGCGGTGCCAGCATGAGATTGGTGCCATAAATCCTTAAGTTCTAACTAAAAAACAAATTTTAAAATATATTGTGATTAATTTTGTTTCCATCTTTAATATCTAACTAAAAAACAAATTTAAAATTGGGAGGATAATTATGGTTTTTATAATTAAAACTTGGCATCATGAAATGCAAACAAAAAAGAATCAAGAGTTGGAGAATCAAAGTTGTACAAAAATTTCACGATGAAAAAGTGCACAAGCATAATGTTTTGAAGTAACTCTTCAGAAAGAAGATGACAAATCCAAGTAGACAGAGAAAGAGATAGATCGTTGTGGAACACGTACGATTGAAGATCAAATTATTCCAAGTCTATGAGCACTACATGCTTAGACATATATGAACACGAGGAATTGCTATGAAGCTAAATGCGCTAGACATGCTCGAGCGTGCCATACTTCAACATTGTTCATTGCTAAAAGTAAACAATGCTATCCATGGCGTATGCACCATAAAGGCCAGCCTAAGTGCATACTAAATTCTTATTTAAAGGTTGTTTGTTCTAGAAAATCTTAAGTGTAATGCTCTTTATTGACACGATACAAAGTTTTTTTTTCTACATTAAAAAAATACACACCCTAGTTACCAAATCGGTCCAATTTTATAATTTTGAGCTTTCCTCCCTCAAGCCTTCCATAGCCCATAAACATCTCCACCATCAGCAAACTCATTAGAAATGGTTACATCTTCGACAACTTTCCGCAAGCACTCGTCATCATCAAACTCCTCAAGCAACTACCATTGTCCTCCAACTCCCTCAATCTCTCCACATCTCATTAATGTCATCCCTTTGAACTATCTCCTTCACCCATCCTTGATCAGCTGCTACTAACCGCCCTCGATCACCTCCCAAGCCCTCCATGTGACACTTAGACTTGCTTTTCGTGCCAGCTTGATCCCCTAAACCCTTCTCATTGTTAGCAGCATTCCCCAATCACCATCACATCACTAGAGAACCCACCAGAGCAAATCTCGTGGATAAGAGAAAGAAAGGAGGAAATTTTAACTTGAATTATATCCTAATAAACAAAAAAAAAATCAATGCATTTGATTTGCATTCAGCCAAATAACAACGTTTCTAAGAAGCAAGAATTTAAATTACTCTGCATTTCTAAGATGCGTGCTTGTTAAAATCATCCAACCAAACAACCCCTCAATTTAAACTAAATATCATAAATTTAAGACGGGTTTAGAGTAACTATAGCTTTTATAAATATGGTTTTAATGTTGTTGCGGGGATAAAAAATTTTCTGAAATCCATCGCATGTTTTTTTTTTTGCTTTTATAAAAAATTTTCTGAAATCCATCGCATGTTTTTTTTGCTTTTTAATTTTGGGCGCCTCTCTTATAACTACCATACTTCAACTTATTTGAATGAAAAAAAAACCTTTATGCTACAGATTTTTCTGAAAGACAAAAATAAATAAACAAATAGAAATGTGGAGACGCACTGAAAAGCAAAGCACTAACAAATTTGCCCAAAACAATAACTAGTATTGGCAAGTAAACTTTAAGAAACTGAAAAGTACAGGAAAAAAACAAAAGAAAAAAAAAATACTATCTACCACAAAGAGTTTGCTAATTGCATACCAACACTATCTACCACAAAGAGTTTGTAATTCAAAGGCATGCAATCATTAACAATAAAAAAAAAAATTGCAAATCAACAATGCGATAAATAAAATGCCAAGAGAAACCACAAATGATGGGAAAAGCTATGTAGCATTGTACAAAAAACTATATCTATGGTATCCATAACGCTTCTTGATTATAAAAAACACTTACTCAACAATAAGTCTCCATAGTTAACTATACGAATACTGGATTAAAGCACCTCCCGAAGCTCTGCTAGGGTTTTTATTGTTTCCCTTTCTTTCTTTTTTCTTTTGAAACACTAACCGATTTCCCCTACTGATCCCTTCCTCCGCCTTCCTCGTTCCGCTTAGGCGTTTTGCCACTTAGTGAGCCATGGATCCTTTATCTTTTCCCCATCTCCCCTCTGCAACCCCTGCTTCTATTCTTGGACCTGGCCCTTCTCTTAATCGGAAGGCCTTGTTTCTCCACATATCCCAAACCCTATGAATTGTAATCTTCCTTCATCTCTTGCGCTAAGAAGAAAATTTCTATTGTAGATGAAGTGGTTGAATGTTCCAAACAATAACAACTTACAGTGGTCAAAATGCCATGTTATGGTAATCTTCTAC